TTTTGTCCCGCACTTTCAACTTGGGAACTATAAAAGCTAGGCGGCTGAAATTTTAGTATACTGTTCCCCGCCAACGGGTGGCGCGGCATATTTAAATTCAGCCTTCCCGTACCAGGGTAACACGTACGGCCCCGCAAAAGATTTTCGGATAAAATCAGTATCTCGGGAACCACGGAAAGTAGAAGGCTGAAATTTTGTGAGCATGTCTCGCGCCCACGTATTAATCAGAAAATTTAAATTCAGCTTTCCCCTGCCCGCGGGTAATAAGCACGACCCTGCGAAAGTTTTTGACGGGTAAATTATTATCTTGGGAACCAAGGGGTCTAGGGAGCTGAAATTTTAGGATGATGACCCCCTGCTCACCCTCAACCTTGCCTGTCCAAAGTCAGTGTCCCCGCGCTCTCGGGTATCACCCACGGGCTAGTGAAAGTTTTTATGGGTAAATTGTTATCTCGGGAAGCACAAGATCTGCAAAGCTGAAATTTTAGGGTAATGATCCCTGCCCATGCTCAACCTTGCCTATTCAAATTCAGCTTTCCCGCGCTCTCGGGTGTCATCTACGGCCTCGCGAAAATTTTTGCGGGTAAACTATCAACTCGAGAATCACGGAAAGATATGCATCCTTCAGTGTTTCGAATTCAGCTTTCATGCGCATGTGTGTGAAATTTCTAAATATTTTTCAATGTTTCAACCATTTTGCGTAGACTAAAGTATAAAGTAGTGAAAATCATTGATGGGCAATAATCGTTCGATGGGCTGATTTGCACAAAACGCATGATCGCACCGACTAGTCTGGTGCGCCTTGCTATTTTTTCCATCTATAAAGTAACACAGGGAGAACGGTTATATTGAAGAGCTCTGCATTTATGTGAGACGATGTACGCCTATCTAAGAAGTTTTCCTGAATTTTAATAAGGGCAGTACACCCTGCTCTTCTCCTTCTTTTCAGTTCCGTCTATAGGTTGCCATCCACTTGTGCACCTGCCCTAAGTAGACACATGTGTATACTAGCTCAAATTCCTGATCGTCTAGTTTCATGGTGAATTACGGACAGTATG